AAACATCCCTAACCAAAGTAGCTAATATAGGATAACGAGTTGAATTCTCCTTCCACCATTTAAGAATGTTAAAATTTTCAGCATCAACCCAACATGGATCACCTAAGTACTTCTCTAGTTCATTTTTATTATCAACAATGACTTTATCCTTCAAGTGTTGTTTAAATGCATCAGCCCTTGTAAAAAGTGTAGGTTTTCTAGCTTGGGTACTTGTTTCTCCAAGAGAAGTGCTCTCGGATGGTGCATCTAAGAGGGCAGCCTCAACATTCTTACTGTGCTCAGATTTATACCAATTGTATAGTGTAAATATACTTTTCTTGACACACTCAATACTTTTCTTAGCAATTGGACTACCATCCCCATGCATGTCATTGAAAGACCACTCAACATAACTGAACTTAAACCTAGGGTCAAATATCACTCCAAAAAATAGGAAATGATTCACTTTTTCAACGTCCCCCCAATATTTATCAAATTTGGTCTTCATATTTGAAACCATTAGAGCCACATAGGTATTCATGTTCAAGGAAGCTTCTTGAAGCTTACACAAAATTTCAGACAAGTTATGAAAGGCAGAATGTAACGACACTTCTTGCGAAGATGAAAACAATTTGGTTGCATCATAGAATGTTTTCAAAAAAATCACAAAAGCCCTAGATTTTTCCCAATCAATAGAACAAGGAGGACCCGAGAGGTTAAAAAATTCCATGTACCCAGGATCCTCATCCTCTAACTTCTCAAATGCTGCCTGAAACTTCTCAGCAGCATCCAACATCAAATATGTGGAATTCCATCGTGTGGAAACATCAAGGCCAAGTTTTCTTTTACATGTTATCCCTACAATTTCAATACACTCCTTAAACTTTAAAGCTCGTTGTGGTGAGGACCTCACAAACCTAACAGCTTCGCGAACACTTTCAATAGCCAATTCATGATCTTTTTGCCCATCTCTCACTACTAAGTTTAAGATATGGGCAGCACACCTCATATGAAAAAAACTCCCATCACCAACTAAAGCATTCTTGCTTTTAAGTCTTTTTCCCAAATAAGAAACGGCCACATCATTACATGTTGCATTATCAAGGGTAATTGTTGACACTTTTCTAAGCCCTCATTCCTTCAAAACATCCTCCACTTTCTTACCAATGGTGTCACCCTTGTGATTTGGAACTAAACTAAAACTGATAATCTTTTTATGATAGTTCCATTCATTGTCAATGAAGTGTGCAGTTATGGCCATGTAACTAAGATTTTGAATTGAAGTCCAACAATCAGTGGTTAGTGCAACCCTAGGACAATCAGATTTAAAGAAGGCTTTAAGTTTCAACTTTTCGGCTAGGTAAAGTTGAAAACAATCCCTAGCAACAGTCCTCCTTGAAGGGATGGTCATTTGTGGTTGTAGTTGTTTGCATAGTCTCTTAAAACCCTCACCCTCTACCACTCTAAATGAATGCTCATCAAGAAGTACAAAGGAAGTAATAGCCTTCCTACATGCTTGAGCATTGAACCTTTGGCTTGTTGAACCTAAAAAACCACCTTCACCACTTACAAGGTTTCTTTGAGTGGGATCTTTCTGTAAAAGGTTAGGGTTTTTGTGACACACTTTTGAGTGAGCTAACATGTTAGATGTTCCATGTGTTTTAGGGTCGCATCGATATCTTTTGTGACAATGTTTACAAGCAGCTATTGGTTCAGGTTCATCCGGAAAAATGTTAAAGTCTAACCAAACGGTGGAAGTTTTCCTAGATCCACTAGCATTAACTAGTCTTTTTTTCCTAGAAGGGGGGAGAGGAGGAAGTGCGGTTTCTACTGCTTGTGTAGGTTCAACATAGGGAACAGGATGTTCCATCACTGAAAATATTTTGGTCAACAAAAACACTTAGTCCTATATGAATAATCTAAAACAGTTACTTACATGACCAATTTAAATGTTAGACTAAAAAAGATCATTAAACATCAACCAATATTACTCAACATAAAGACACAAAGACAACATAACCAACAAACATATAAAAACTTATAAACCAGCAAACACACAAAGACAACATTAGCCAGCAAACACACAAAAACTTATAAACTTAACCTAAGCTCAAAAATTATAGAAACCTGAAGTATATTTACTTTTCATGCCATACCCACAAATAACAAGTAAGTTGTTGTGAAATCTTACCTTCACTCAGTCCTTGGAAGCTTCCTTCACTGAGTCCTTGCAAGCTTTCTTCTCCAGCTTCTCCACCTCCTTGAAAGCTCCCTTCTCCATGTTCCATCTTTCAATAAAACAAAATATATAAATGGATTAGCATAACAAACATATGGTTCACTATTCTTTAAGAAACAAAGGAAGAGAGTTAAGAGGGGAAAAATAGAAAGAGAGTTAAGAACCAACATTTTTAAAGAAACAAACCAAGAATGAATTCCACATATACAACCAACAAAACAACAATTGTCAATTACAAATTACTACATAAATAATCGACATAAATAAACTTATACAATACTACCATCAAACAATTAATAAAATCACAACTATTGTATTTGGTCCTCCTATCATGCCATTTAGTATGTCAAAGAGCCTTTAAACCTAACCAATCTTACAAGCATAGTTTGCTCCCAAAGTTTTCCCTTAGCTACAACACCAATAACTTTACATATTACTTATTACAAGATATTTAACAAATATTATATTGTTAATGCCTATGGATAGATATACACTCTACTAGTACGTTGCTTGTTGCTACTTGCTACCATCTTCAATTATTTTGTTTGGCTTTTTCGAGTAATCAATCTATCGCCTTTTCTTTTAATCTCACCAGAATATCACTTGAATTAAAAGTTTATATCATACTAGTACATGCAGTATTATTATGACAAGTCATCACTTAAAATGTATGTGTATTGTATTCTAAACTAAAGTGTAGTATGGTCGGTGGGAAAAATATTTTCATTATCACTTTTCACCGACAGTAATGAAGTTAATCTTAGTTGCATATTCCGTGGGATCACTTTTTTTGTGTGTATATAATGCCTTGCAATATTTTTGATGAAATATACTTCTTGAGAAATGCCAGGTGGTTTGACCATATCGCTGTATCTTGTTAACAGGTGGACAAGGGAGTGAGTGCAGAAATTGTTCGCTCCGTCCTTGCAGAGAGGGCTAATTTTCCCTGTCTAGCAGCGAAATCAGCATATAAAGTACGCAAGCATCTTCCATTTTGCCTCATACTTTCGTTTGATACGACATTAGCATAATTATCAATTACAAAGAGGGCTAATTGTCAATTACAAAGAGGGCTAATTAGAAAGGAGAAAGAGAGAGAAGGAGAATCATAACAGAGAAGTACTTACATCGGAGGTGATTCGTGGCTGGTTGGCGTGGTGGTGCTTGACCAAACGATGACAGTTGCTAAAGAAGAAGATGAAACCCTAGCGGAGAGAGATGCTGATGAAGAGGAACGAATTTGGAATGATGAGATTGAGAGAACTCATGAAACCCTAGTGGAACGAATTGGGAACAAATTGGGCCAAGTAAAATCGTTGTTGTAAAAAAATGAAATTCCTTGGGCTCCCCTTCTGGGTCGGTCGGATATGGTTATCCATGGGTCTAAAAACATAATCCTAAACCGACCGACAGAATCCACCTGCATCCATTTCTTGGCAAATCGATAAACCGATGATCTGCTTAACCCGACCCACATGTTCTCGGATCCCTTGGGTAGGTCGGTTTGGTCTGGATCGAAAAAATTTGTCCACCGCTAACCGAGACTTTATTATATATAGAGAGATTACAACTAACTACATACAAATATTCTTAACACTATATATATTTACAAATATCAACGGATATAATTAATATATTTAATAAAGAAATAATATTACGATGAAAAAGTTTATTAGAATATATTTCTATCTATGAGAATTATTGTGTAGGGAATGATCCATTTTATTTATATTTGAAACTTGAGGATTGATATGTGTTATTTTTTTAAACAAAAATATTTTAACATTGCATGATGAGAATTAAATAAAAATAATAAAAACAACAAAAAAATCATCCTATAATCCATCCCCCGCAATCTATTTTTTTAAAACAAAAAGTTTGGTGATGCTAAGAAAAAAATTAGAAATTAACAAAAATAAATAAAATCAAAAGAAAGTAAATTGTTCTAATATTGAATAATAAAAATAAGCGTCAGCTACCACATAAATCATTTACAGTGCTTGAAAGTATAAAAATAAAAGGATTTTTCAAAATGATTTAATGATAGAAACATAGAGAAAAGTATAATGATAGTATAATGTATAGAAGATGGACTAACATTAAGATTAAAAAGCATCTTCTTAAAAGGATGATGATGTAATTTTCTTTAGTTTTCTCTATTTTTTGTAGCTATAGTTGTCTTGAAGAGTGAATCCTTTTTAATCGTCTTGTATTGTTATTCTTTTTGAAATCAATAAAACTTCTTTTAATGAAAAAAAACAACAGTATAAATCTTCTACCAACGTATTGTGATATTTCAAAATGTTATAAAATAACAATAAAAAAACTCTTTACATGTATTATTAGTGCATGACAGACTTTTTTATATAGGGCAAAAAGTATATTTTATATTGAGTCTAGGTCTGATGTAAAGTTAAGTGATACATCGATCGAGTGTTACATCGAGTGTTACGTCTGACGTGAAATATGAGGGTTTTTTTATTAAAAAAAATAAACGCACATTTAACATTTGTTTCTTGTCTGACCTGATGTAGAATGTAGGTTTTTACATCGGTTCCTTTCTGGAACAATGTAAAATGTATGTTATCTTTCTTAAAAAATTAGACTATTTTATAGCAAAAACGGGGTGGAATCTCTAATTTTTTTAAATCTAATTTTTCATATTTTTCCAACATCACACATACCACATTTAGGTCGCTATTTATTATCTAATTTTTTATAATTTTTATTGCACCAAATAACTAGGATACACATATTCTTCAAAATGAACAATTGATTTAAGTACTACAACAACAAAACCAATGAAAACATACAAAAATATCCAACCATTTATAAGTCATTTCCCACACTTGAATTACCAACATGGTTTTCAATCATTATCTCTTCTAAAGTTAGTTTTTCAATCATGGTTTGAACAGAAGCAGAGAGAAATACACCTCCAGTCAAAGTTGCATCCATCTTTTCCGTTGTTGATGTATTTTTGAGATCTATCAAAAAAGTTGGAAAACAAATAAGAGATAAAGTACCTTTAAGAAAGATATTTCTAATGAGATAATGAAGCACATGTGAAAACTTTAGAGATACCTGAGTCGGAAATAAACCATGAGAAATTTTGGAAAGCCCCCAATAAAAATAAGCATTGATTGAGCATCGGAACTCAAGTGTTTATAGTTTAATATCTACTTTTTTGTTCAAAAATACCTTCATGATTACAAAATGATAAGTTACAAGAACAAGTCAGTTCCAAGTTTTAAGGAATCTCTGAAAGTATCATCTTTAAAAAACTTAGAAAACATAGATGACATGATCATATGTGACCAGATCATGTATAATGCATATACAATTCACTTTTTAAGCAAGACTTATTTATAGATCCTTATAGAGATTTAACCTATTTAAAATTATAAATTACACTAATAAAATTGTAAAATACATAATCAGTTACTAAATTTGATGAATAATCATACATCATGGCAATTATTAGTTGAAACAAAAACACCAGTACAAATGGAACTGTAAATAAGTTTTGTCTCTTAAAATATAGGATGGGAACTTTTGTATCTGACTGCAAATAATCAAATAACATAACTCATATTTATAGAATTAGGTAACATATCTTGAACCCATTAAACATTTGTTTCTTCACATTTTATTAGGAGTTCTAAATCTTCTAAATATGTATAGACATTCACCAATAAATATCTTAATACCTGTTTTAAAATAAAGCAGAGTATATTAGTACAAAGACACTTCACACAACGTAATGCTTATATGAGAAGATGAACACTCATAGTGAAAGAACTTACCTCAAATTCTAGTAACATACAGAGACACATCACACAATGTAATACATATATGAGAAGATAAATACTCATAGTGAAGGAACTTACCTCAAATTCTAGCATTTTTTTCTATAAAGTCACCAGCCTATCTAAGCCTCGTGTCAACAGAATCAGTAAGTAAATCATCCTCAATCAATATGTGAAGTGGCTCATTGAGATGCTCATATCCTGTTCAATTTCATCCTCTCAATTTCTCTCACTAAAGAATGATATGACAATAATCTCAATTTTTAAACAAGAAAACATACATAACCAAATAAATAGAAAGAAGCATCATATATTTTTACACATTTTTCCTAATACCTAATAAATAGTGAGGTGTAGAAGGACTTTCATTTAGTACTCTATTATCTATCTTAAAAAAAGCAATATCATCAACAAAAAAATAACTATTATTTTCATTATCTAATACATTCGCTTTATTGTCTAAACATCTTTATTGTTGAAGGATTAACCTTAAACTTAAACCATCACTCTGACATTAAAAATAAAACTCACGGAAATGAGAGTGAAACAGTAGCATATAGTTTTATCAAGAGAATAATTTGAATCATAATAGAAAACAATGTGTCCGACAAGTGCGTCTTTGCAGGACATAACAATGATTGAATAAGTGAAGGTTGAAGTCAACCTAAACAAGTAGATTACATGAATCGTCACTCAATTAAGCGAAAAAATTAAGCTGAATCGATGAACCAGTCACAAATAGTAACAACATCGAGAGAGTAACGAAAAAATCTTAGCAGCGAGAGCAAGACCGTCGAAGACTGAGAGTACGGAGGTGAGTTAGATTGGAGAATATGTCGGTAGGTATTTGATCGGAGAGAGCGATGTCGGGGAGAAGAAGCTCGACGACACGGTGGTCTTGGCATTGAACACCGGCCTAGTTGCATGGAGTTTGGTTGGTTGCGTTCCAGAAAAGGGTTCGGCCGCAGACAGAGGAACGGAGAGCTAGTAATTCAGCTCGTTCGGAATCAAGATCTGGTAGAGATAGTGATGGAGCAGTGAGTAAAATTAGTAAGAGAATGAAGATTGGATCCATGGATCTGTGTTTTTTCATTACTCACTCCTCTAACATATACATGGAGAGAATACACCGAACAAAAGATGTGGAGTAACCGTCAAAAGAAGAAGAAGAAATAAAGAGAGAAGGTTCGTTTGATGGTGGTTGTTGTTGGGTTAGAGGATAAAAAATGAAGTATGAGTTGAAGATGATTTTCGTTAGAGTTTGAGGGTTGGACTAATGCGGCGAAATGAATATGATAAAGAATTTAGGGTTTTTTACATAGGTTGAGTATATGATCCGATGTAACAGCCACTTTTTAATGCTCTTTACATTGGTTGGAAAATTAGTTCGATGTAATGGTCTTTTATAATAAAAATTATTTTATTTACTAAACTGTCAATGTGTTTTTATTTTTTTAATCATTGGATTTTTCACATCGGAGTAAATTTAGATCCGATGTGAAATTCTTTATAACAAAATTGTATTTTATTTATCAAACTGCCACCATATTATATTTTTTCCTAAATCAAATATTTTTCATATCATTGTAAATAAACGTCTGATATAAAATTATTTGACAAATATTTTTCAAATCATATATTTTTATACCTGATGTAAAGACTTTTTTCTCAATTATCATATTTTTAGTAATTTATTTTATAAATCTTCAAATTAAACATGAAGAAGTAGAGAATTATTTTTCTATTTACATTCAATAAACCTCCAAATTAAACATGAAAAAGTGGAGAGAGAAAGACAATGTCAAAGAAATGCAAAAACAGAAAAACATGAGAATGATTATATAGAGAGAATCAATAGGAAGAAGATGGAGAGAAATAATGTAACTAAATAGAAATATATATAATTATTAAAGAGAGTTCTATGAATTAATGGATTAGTAGAATAATTATTATTAATAAATAATTTAAAAATCATTTTTTTTTTATTACAGTACATATTAATGGAATTAGTGGGACAGATTAACTTCAACCGTTTTGAACCCATGATCGGTCCGTTACTTACTGTGGAGTGGGTTATAACATGTGTTACATGATTGTCATGAACTTAATAATTTGGACATGCTATATAATATTACCATGACTTGATAGTGCTGGAAAAAGGTTATTATTAGTGTTATCATTATTTATTGTTATTAAATATTACTATAAAAGAGAGAAAATAGACTGGTTGAAGACCTTGATTTAGTGGGGTTATGAAGACCCACGTTTTGTTTTAATTAATTTTATTTTAATTAGTTATTTAAATTAACTTTTAATTTAAGTAACAACTTAATTTGATTTATAGGAAGTGTAACAAAATTTAGTTATTCAAACTATTTAATCAAATTTTATTTTATTTATTTATTATTTTTATAAATTTTAGCAAGTTTTACGAATTCGACTTTTTAGCTATTTTTTAATAAATATGAGAAAAATAATTAAGTTTAAAAACTGATTATATATTTTTAGCTATTTTTTTAAAATATATCTATTTTTTATTTTACATCTGATCAGGACTGAGCATACACTTGCCTTACGAGCGAAAGGCCCAAAGACAGTCTAAGTTAGAGATTGTGGGACACCTCCCCATCCAACCGTTGGAAGACGTGGCCCACCACCTCTCAACAGACATACCAAACTGCCCTCCGAGAATCTCGGGTCCAGCCCTATTATCGCGGAGCAGTTGACCAGGAGAGATCCACTTGCTGGACTCCATACTCAAGTAAACTCTGGCAGTTCCCGTTATTGGACCTCTGTGTGGCCCAATAGTGGGGACCTTGGCCCAGCGCTGGGGACTATAAATACCCTCTCTCATGAGAGGGTCAAGTATTCATTCATTCACACCTAAAACTCATACTTGCTTGCTCATTCCGCTTTTCATTTTGCCATCGGAGTGTCTTACATGTACCCCCCCCATCTCATTCAAGCTCAGCCTGAAGCCAGCTAGGACGGTCCACCTCTGATCAGGTTAGATCAGTGGCGTCGTCTGTGGGAATCTAAGCTTCCCCATCTCCTCTTCATTTAAAAGACCAAAGCTAAACAATCCTCGACTGTCATGGCTGACCAGACTCAGGACAACCAGAACGTCCGTGTCGTCGATGTTAACAACAACATCGCCAACAACAATGCCGGCCTCGACAACGCCGGTACCACCGACCATAATACAATTACCAGCGTCAACATGTCCGGACCTTCTAACTACAGGGACAGAGCCACGACTTCTTCTTCATCAATCCCTCCTCGACTTGAAGAAGATCGACCACTTCCCCTGAACTATCCAGCCGTCCAATTCCATGAGGTCCCCGTCCCCGCCGGGGCAGACGCCACGACCAGGGCACTGTTTGCGGCGATCAACCAAACCAACTATCTCATCTTCTCCCAAGGGGAAAGACTGAGAGCACTCGAGGACGACCGAAGGCCCCCGAGAAGACACAGGAGACCTCAATCTCCTCCCCCTCGACAAGTGGACGAGCGTCCCCAATCTCCCCCGTGAAGACAGAATCGAGACGTTTCTAGAAGCCCGTCGCCCCAACCACTCGGGCGATGACCCCCTTTGGAGAGAGAACCGCCCATCAACACAGGAAGACGCGACTATGGCCCCTCGCGGCAAGAACGAAGACCCCCCGGAGACAGACACAGGGGAAATCATCAACGGTCACACCGCCCAAGGAACGCTCCGCACGACCAGGGCCACCATGACCGCCACTACATCGGATCTCCATCCCGCTCTCCAGAACGGAGTGATGAGGACGACCCCCGCGGTCCCTTGTCACAAGCTATCATGGAGGCGCCCATTGCCCCGGGCATGGAGAAGCCTCCCCACTTAAAGGAGTACGACGGCATCGCCGACCCGGTCGACCATATAGACGGGTTCGAAGCCATGTTGCACTACCACAACGTCGGGGGACCAATAAAATATCGGTTGTTCTCCACGACTCTGAGGAAAGCGGTTATGGACTGGTACAAAGGTCTCGCCCCGGGGTCAATTACCTCTTGGCGAAACCTGAAGAACCAGTTCATCAGCTCGTTCACTGCTTCGCGACGACACCCGAAGACCGAAGCAGCGCTCGAGGCCATCGTTTAGAAGCACGATGAGACCTTGACAGAATTCATTGAGCGCTTCAAGCGGGAAGCCATCCAGGTCCCCTGCATGGACCATATGAAGAGATACCTGCTAGAGAGGGGGCTCCTCCGCGGCACCGAATTCAGAAAAGCTGTGGGCATCGAACCACCCCGGACGTTTGATGCCCTCCTCAAAAAGGCCAGGGCCTACATGGACTACGAGGAGAGAGAAGCGGCCAACAGAGCCCGAGACCCCAGAAACTGCGGATCCAGCAGCAATCTGCGACAAGACATCGCCCCTCCTCGACAAGCTGGAGAAAAGAGAAGGGACGATAAACCCCGAGACGCCCGGGAACAAAGGGACCCTCGGGGAGGTTCACATAATACACTCCGCTTACGGCTTCCCGCGAGTGCATCTTAGCGGAGTGCACAAGTACAGACTTCAAGGACAGAGAAGTCAAACATCCCCTCCCCGCTCCTTCCAAACCCGGGGTGGACCGAAGAAAATACTTCCCGTACCACCGGAGCCATGGGCACCTGACCGAAGACTACATCCACCTCAAGGACGCCGTCGAGACCCTCATAAAAGGGGGGAAGACTTGCACAATATAGGCGAAGCGATGCTCCTCGTCGGGACGCCCGAGAGACGAGGGAAGCAGAAGAGGATGCCCGACCATCTGATGAGTCGGTTCCCATCCAAACCGCGTTCTCTGTCACAAGACCCGAGGACTTCTACGTCCCCGAGCATTTGCAAGAACCTCTGTCTACGCACAACAGGTGGGAAAACTTCCCCTCCGCCATGGTCATCAATGGCAGAGGGTTCAATGATTTGACCATAAATTCAGCTAAGAGGGAACTGGATGAGCTGGTCGACACTCCACCTCCTCAAACGGTAACCTTTGAAAGGGTGAAAGGCAGATCAGGGCCGATCACCTTCTACCTCGAGGAACTCCCCAGAGGGGCCCCCAATTCGGCCATCCCTTTGCTGATAATGCCGAGAATGGCCAACTTCAACGTACATCGCATCCTCGTCGACGAGGGAAGTTCTATCGTCGTGATGTATAGCCAGTTGTTCAGAACCCTGCAGCTCAACGACTCTAACCTCTCACCATACGTGGGATCATACCTGCAGGAATTTAACGGCTCGACGTCCAATCCTTAGGGATACGTCAAGCTTATGGTCACGTTCAGTGAGGATATCGCTACCAGGCAGGTCAAGGTGTGCTTCTTTGTCATTGACTGCCCATCCCTCTACAACTGCATTCTCGGAAGACCAATATTGGCAGAGCTGACCGCGGTGCCCTCCACCGTCCATTTGAAGATGAAGTTCTACACCAAAAGGGCACGGGTTGCCACTATTCAAGGTGATCTGGCAGCTTGCCGAAGGTGCTTCAACGTAGCATCCAAGGGACGTAACACAGTCGACACCAGCACACGGCCCACCAAGAAAGTTGCAACTGCACGACCAGAACCTCAGCAGTCAGAGCCCGTCAGAGCAGAAGAATAGAGAGCCCCTCCAAAGTTCGACTCGATATCCCTGGGCACTCGCTTCGACCAGGACGAGCCCCCCAACGGCAAGCAAGTTCCCCTCTGACCAATTCCGGACGGGGACTTCGAGCTCGTCCCCCTCGGCGAAGAACCAAGGAGAGGAGTGAAGATTGGCATCGGACTCCCCGACTTGGAGAGAAAGCATATCAAGGCTTGCTTGAGAGAAAATGTGGATCTGTTTGCATGGAGTGCTACGGAGATGCCCGGTCTCGACCCTAAGGTCTCCTGTCATCAACTCGCCATTGATCCAGCCGCTAGGGAAATAGTACAACATAGA